AATGTGAAGCAACAACCCTTTCAAGGACTTTGCTCATGAATGTTAAATTGGATATAGGTCGGTAGTTATCCATATTTAGGTGGTCAAGGCCTGGTTTTTTAAGAATCGGGGTCACCGCAACCATTTTTAATTCGGCTGGAACAACGCCAGATGCTAAACTACAGTTTATCATATGTGTTATGAAGGGAGCAACCTCGGGCACAGACAACTTAAGCAAAACAGTAGGGATAGGATCAAGCCGGCAGGATGTGGAATTTGATTTCACAATTAGATCACTTATGGCAGCAGGAGTAGTTAGAGTGAAAGCAGAAAGGGAGTTTGTCAAGTGAGCGGAACCAGCTAACCTTAAATGAACGTTTGAGTCACTTGTATGAGGAGTGTTTTTGGTAATGGATGTAGTGATTGACTTCAATTTATCAGAGAAAAATTGAGAAAAGTTATTTACAAGCCCCACAGAGCCCGAAATAACATGTTCTGGTGGATTTGTGAGTTTGTTAATCATTGCAAATAGTGATCTGGGCCTGCATTTGGAATTTCTAATGGTAGAGGTGAAATAAGAAGATCTTGCATCATTAAGGGCTGTACGGTACCTAAGCAAGTGTTCTTTGAAAGCCAAAGAGTGCACGGTAAGTCCAGTTCTCCTGTATAGTCTTTCCAGGCGGCGACCCTCAGTTTTTATCGTTCGTAGTTCAGGAGTGAACCAAGGTGAAGCACGAGTAGATGGAACCAGTCTAGTTTTAACAGGAGCATGCATATCAAGTATTTGAGACAAAGCATTGTTGTATATACAGCAGATCTCTGATGGACAGTTAGATCGTAGACATTCAGACAAGGTAGAATCCCTTATTGAAGCAGAAAAAGAAGATGGATTCACAGAGTTGATTTTACGATAAGTCAGTGTTTTCTTCAGTGGTGATAAAGCTACTGGAAAACTACAACTGAAGCTTATGAGTTTATGATCAGAGAAAGCAAAGTCCGAACCATTAACACAGATGTTATTTAAGCCAGATGTACATATGAGATCCAGTATATGACCCCTGGAGTGGGTAGCAAAAGTTACATGTTGAGTTAGGTTGAAACAGTCCAGTACAGACATCAATTCATTGCATTGTGCAGTGTTTTCATGTATATTAAAGTCACCAAGCAGAATAACAGATGGATAGCTGCCACAGACAAGAGTAAGTAATGCACTAATCTCAGAGAAAAAGAGTGGCATTTAGGAGGTCGGTAAATTAAGATTACAGCCAGTTGTGTTTGGCCAGTCATTTTCAGCGCTAGGTATTCAAATGCTCAAACATCGTGAAACTCGATCCTGGAAGTTTTAATAGTCTCACGGCAAACTACAGCCAGCCCTCCACCTCTACGATGAAGACGCGGTTGAGAGAAGTAGATGTACCCAGGCGGAGTTAGGAGGTTCAGGTTGAAAAGGTCATTAGGAACCTGCCAGGTTTCAGTCAACAGTAGCATGTCCAGGTTTGTGTCAGTGATTATGTCATTCAACACTGATGCTTTATCAGTTAGAGAGCGTGTGTTCAACAACGCACATCGCAGGTCTGAAGATGCGCGTCTGCAGGCTCCGAGTTCAGGTTCGAAACGCAATGATCTCAGATTTCCAAAGTTAATGGATCGATTTCCCAGCTGTGTTATATCCGACGCACGGGTGTTTGTACAGACAACCGGAATGTTATTAAAAGACGAGCAGTGATAGTTCCGAAGTTTCTTCCGCGACCGGTGTAGATAGCGCGGTCGGCGTAACACTCCAAGTTGTTCACACCATTTATAGATGTCCGGAGCCAACCGTAACGATCCTTTGTATGTTCTGAGATGGGCTGCAGAAAATTGTAACGCCATCTCGGGGGAACAAGTTTGACTGCCGTCATTCAAAGATAGCACTAACCAAAAAAGACCAAAAAACAAAACCTGCAATCGGATACGTGATGACATGACCAGTAATGTCCAACGCGACGACCTGCACAATAATGTATCGGTTTAACTACGTTAGCCAGAACCGTATCAGACCCACAATCCACACAATCCACAGAAGGGGAGGCTACCCAACCATACCAAGGATTGACACCACAAAATGATAAAGAGAGGGGAGACTCACAGTATCAGATGTCGCGAGGGATAGGGATGCGAAGTGGAGAGGGCTCGTAGCCGATCAGTGTGACAGGATCATGAAACTTCTGAGCGTTTAAATAGTCCAGTGAATAATCCAAGTGTTGATTGTGTAAGAAGGTTCAGTGAATAATCCAAGAAGATCGATTCCAAGAAAAAACATATCCAAAAAACAGACGTAGAACAGCAGACAAACAGATACCAGCGTGAAGCGGCAGCACAAGCGCGCCTAGCTTTCTCACACCGGAAGTGACCAGGTACTTCCTACCTGGTCACTTCCGGGTTATACCTGAGTATACCTGGTCACTTCCGAGTTATACCTGAGTTATCATGCTTGCCATGAATATCACCTGTAACCATAGTGACAGTGATTAAACTAAGTACATATCAAAGACACCCAAAAAACGGGAAATTATTATCACAGTCGACAGTGCGTGTTCATCAAATCTTAATTAACAGACAGCAATTTTTATACCTGAGTGGTAGGCTATAGACCAGACCTATGCAGTTCCAATGGAAATCAATCTTAAACCTTTACATGACACTCAGACGTATGCTCATACTGTATCTTCGTCTCTGTTATTACAAAACGTAAATGAAAACACGCTTGCCCATACGAGACACTTATGTGCAGCGCGGAGCGGTTCTTTCACGTATGACATGACAGACAACTAGTTGTCCAGTGCGGTTCACACAGCGAGGGTTTGCAGAGAATGCGGTTGCGAGTCCCGAAAGTTTATAGGTGTGAGTTCGGTGATAGAATGCGGTTGTCACTCCTATAATTAACTAAACTGTGTGTGAATGCAACCATATTAAGGAGTCAAATACATCACAACCATATTCTATGCCTGTGTGTGAACAGCCATAGTAACCTCTGGCGCTCAGATACAAGCAGCTGCCTAGTTTGTGGAGATGGTGAAAATAAAGAATTCAGAAGAGCATGAAACATTTCTGGTGACTGGACAAGTGACTGGACACACACACACACACACACACACACACATGCACACGCACACACACTGAAAAGGTTTTAAGCTGTTCAGGTGGAAACTTAACCTCACAGTGAAACCCCTGCATAATTAATTCAATGAGACTATTGTTTGTTGCCTTTTTTCTATTTTTAAATTTGCTATGGACCTAAATAATGTTATTATTATTAAAATGTTATTGAAAAAAATTGTTTTTAGTAAATTAATAATAATAGTAAAATATTTGTTTTTTCATTGGCTCTTTCAAGAAAATGTATTAATGAAAAATGAAAAAAATTGCTCTTTGGTGAAAGAAGGTTCCTGACCCCTCATCTATCGAAAGGTGAAGCTTTTTGTGTTTGACTTTGATAAGTGTGCATTTCATTGCTTCATATTAGGATGTTAATTTCTCACAGTTGAAAGCTCGGTTGGAGAATGTAGCATCTGTATGGGGCTTATGGCTCCCATTACACTTGGCATTAACATGCAGTTTGTATCCGGATAGTATCTGGACTTTTTTATATTGCATCACCAGTGTTTTTGTCAGATGAGCTCAATAAGGAGAAGGTTTTCTCTTGTAAGACAAACTTGTAAGACAAACTTATAAATCACAATTTGAGCATGTTTGACTTTTCAATCTCGGTCCCACTTTATATTAAGTGACTTTAAGTACTATGTACTTACATTAAAAAATAAGTACAATGTACTTATTGTGTTGATGTTGTTGTGTAAACCACTTGGTAACACTTTATTTTACGGTGTCCGTGATAGTGTAATTACTTAGTAGTAGACATTGTAATAACATGTAACAAAATGTAATTAACATGCAACTAAGTTATGGAACAGCCTGTACTTACAGATTGTAATTACACTCATGTATTAGACAGCTACTGTTACACATGTAACAGGCCAAGTCGGTTACATACATGTTACCGACTTGGTACAATGTAACAAGTACTTAAATATGTTACTACGGTAAAAAGCCTGCAGTTACACATGGTCATTTTGTACCTTCTAAAATAAAGTGTATCAAGGCTTCGTGTGTATCTACATACCTTACCCATCTGAATTAACCCTCTAGTTTACAGCTTAAATACATGCAGTAGCTTCTTAATTACATTCAATTTACAAAATATTACACAGTTATAAGCTACGTAAAATAAAGTGTATCAAGATTGTACTTAAGTGTACTACATGTGTATCTACAAACCTTATCCATCTGTACTTTAGTTTGAATTAGGCCTAACTCCCTCGTTCACAGCATAAATGCATGCGGTAGCTTCCTAATTACATTGCAATTACATAATATTACACAGGGATAAGCTACGTAAAATAAAGTGTATCAAGATTGTACTTATGTGTACTTCATGTGTATCTACATAGCTTATACACATGAAGTACACTTAAGTACAATCTTGATACACTATTTTAGAAGGTACAACGTGACCATGTGTAACTGCAGGCTTTTTTCATAGTAACATATTTAAGTAGGCCTACTTGTTACATTGAGTAGTACAAAGTACTTTCTTATATAATTACATTGTACCAAGTCGGTAACACGTATGTAACCGACTCGGCCTGTTACATATGTGTAACAGTAGCTGCCTCTTACATGAGTGTAATTACAATCTGTAAGTACAGGTTGTTCCATAAATTAGTTACATGTTAATTACATTTTGTAACATGTTATTACAATGTCTACTACTAAGTTATTAATTTAGTAATTACTCTGTATCACGGACACCGTAAAATAAAGTGTTACCAATTAGATTATCAAATTATTAATTTCAATGTAAGTACATAGCACTTAAAGCCTCTAAATATAAAGTGGAACCTCAATCTCTGTAGCACAAGTGGGATTTCAGAATGGAACAGCTTAACGGATTCACGTTATTTTTCACTTTCTCTCTTCAGAAGTCTTCTGCAGATGTAGAACCAAAGATGTCTTTGGCTGATCGGATGAAGATATTGCAGGAGAAGGAGGAACAATGGAAAACTAAAGGCAAAGGAGCTTTTAATGACTCCACCCAGTTCTCTGTTGCTGGACGAATGGCTAAGAGAGGTGGGGATAAAATACTTTGCCTAGTTTGTAGTCAAAGACTAAGCTTTGTGCAGAGACCTGAACTTTTTCAAGGTAAATGCACAAACCAAGACGTTTGCTGCATACCATAATTCCTGCACATAGGAAATCAGGTTTTAATGTGCATTCTGTGGTTCAAGCAGTGACAAGAATGTTTTAATGTTGACACATCTGTCTCCCATCAGGCTTAGTGTCACCCAACAGAGAGGATGTCCCCATCATCCTTAGCAAGAAGGCCAGCAACAGTACACCAGTCAAACCATTAGAAGGTATAAGTCTGACATCTTCTGTGACCCTGTTTGAATACTCATTTGCCTCAATAATGTACTGAGGGCCATTGTCGCTACAAAGTGTTCTTCTTTCATGTCTGGAAATGTTCCTCGAACAGAAATCTCTACACGTCCTGATGCTGAGGGTGATAAAAGACTGGACAAACTGGAGTCCTTCTTAGACAGACTTCACAATAAAGGTTATTCATTGAAATACTTCATTGAATAATTTGCAGGTTAATGCATAATATAGTTGTATGCAGTGATCTGTTTCTCTCTTCATTTAACATGCAGGCACAGGCATGAAGAACTCCACCATCGAGGTGATGGAGGAGAAAGAGAAGGAGGTGATGACCCTGGATGACGAAGAGGCGTTTGGGCGCTTCTACAGTAGCTTATCACCCACCATTCTGAGCTCCAGTGTACTGCTAGGCGAGGAAGAAGACTTTAGCATCCTCCTGTCAGACACGCCCAAGTAAGATAATGCTCTAATTTCTAGGGATAGTTAACCAACAACCCCAAAATTCAGTCATCATTTACACACCCTCATGTCATTCCAAACCTGTATGACTATTTTTCTTCTGTTGAATACAAAATAATTATTTTGAAGAATGCTAGTAACCAAACTGTTTTTGTTACTATTGACTTCCATTGTATGGACAAAAAAACAGACATTTCTCAAAATATCTAAAGAAAAAAAGCGAACTCTTTGAGATGCTGCAGTCCATATTTGTCTCTTGTAGTAATATTTTTAATAAGCCTCTCTTGGACACCTATATAATATGAATTATCTATGGCAGAGGTCCTTAGTCTGGGTTTCCCCATGCTGCCTTCCCGCAGCGCGATTTTATTCACGCTGAAAGGCAGTATGGATACCATGGACCAAATTTTCGCCTCATTTAGGGAACCAATCACAGAACGGGGAGGGAGCAGCAAGACGATGACGCGTCTATGCAACACACCGATTGCAGTTTGTTTATACCTATGGATCAAACATGGCAGCAGACGCGAAGTTACCTTTCGATGCAGCCTTACGGCCGTTTCACACATGGGTTTCACACCGCAAGCGTGAGCGGCATTTGAGCGGCATTGCGAGAGTATTCACACTGGAAGCGTTTGTACAGTGTCACAGCAGCGGCTCCAAAGCTACATATCGTTAGCCTCATAGCATAATTGCCTAAAGGCAGGCATACACTGTGCGATGTCTGTGCGATTTCAGCAAGGTACCTACTCATACTGAAAGAGTAAATCGCATGCGATGTAAACATAGACAGTAAAAGAAATGGACACAGCGACCCCATAGACTTCAACGGAGAAAAGTGAAGTCAAATAGAAGCACTCACTTCCTGATTGCCAAGCGCACTGCGCATGCTCAAACTGAGCTTGAAGACGTAGTTGTGACGTGAGCGACCTGACTGACAGTTGTACGTCTTCTAGTAGCGGTGCCAAGTGGAATCTGAATCGGTCTTTGTCAGATGACGTCACTCTCGTGATACATGAAGTGCATTATGGGCGTAGCCACCATTTGTAAGGTATCGATGCTGGGGTATTCTGTTGTTGGAGAATTGTTTTTTTCCATTCTTTTTTCAAACTAAACCATCCTTAACATGACATTATCATCATCATCAATACAGCAAACCTATATTTGCTGTTACTAACTTTACTTGATTTATTTACATTCCTACCGAAGGATACAGTAACTTAAACAGCCGTTGGAGAAATGTCCCCTGGCTTTAAGAGATTTATAGTGTTTAAATTGTTCACTGTTATATGCGCTTATACCATAAACAAGATAGTTGACAATGCCCAAGTATGAGGATGAGAAAGCAATGCGGGATCAGCACTCCAACTTACTGCAGTCAGCTCATATGGATCTATGTTCTGAATGGATGACAATTTCTCCAAATAACGTACCTGCCATATTTATCGAGTTCATTGCGGTAAGGCATTTCCTCCGTTTTCTTGTGCTTTTCCAGTTTTGTGAGTTATTTACTTATCTCTACTCTTGTAATCTCTTCAATGCTCACAGTCAGTAGCGATACCTCAAAAATGGTGCCGCGGTGACGTCACACACAACAAACCCACGTGTCTGACAAAGACCGATCATTCCCTTCTGAATCTTGCAGAGCCGGAGATCGTGAGTATTAGCTGTTCATGAGCTCGCAGCAGGAGCAACTTTATGACTCTCTATGGGCTTCTCCCTTGACTTTATGCCTCCACGTCCCCCGATTGCGGGTGAGCTTCTACATCTGTCTTTACGGTCATTTCTCTTCTATGCGACAGAGAGTCGCGTGTTATGACGCAATCGTTAGCCTATTTTTACAAAAACTGCTTCTACGGGGCCACAACGTAAGATACAAGGTAATGGAGCATTTTATACATTGTCGTGTTTCTTTAGAAATAAATAATGGACAAATGGAGTCTTTAAGCGTCTCAGATGTAAAGTTATTCGCTGTCAAAGTGACGCAAAAATGAATGGGAGTCAATGGAATGCTAACAGCAGGTGAAGGCTTGTTAGCCAATGGCGGCGCCTGGGGAGACTTCAGTTTCCGGCTGGTGGATTACCCCCTTGGATGTAAAGCCAAAGTTCAGGATTTATGTGCTCACACTATACGGTCCGATCATCGAGCTGCGACTTCACTGCTCACACTATACGTGTGAAATATCTGCGTTCTGGATTGCGCCCATAGACGATATCAGAGATATTGTCAAAACAAGCATCAGCTATCAATATCAAGATGATTTAGCATTTCCAATTTATGTATTAAATTATTATTATTAGTAGGCCTATTATTGTATTATCATTATTAGGGTAGGCTAATTTTATTATTAAATTGATCTGCTATTATAATTAATTTGCCACGCAATAATTTCACAGCACATAACCAACGAGCTGTGAGGATAATAAATAGGGGTGTAACGATACACAAACCTGACGGTTCGGTTCGTCCCACGGTTTTGAGGTCTCGGTTCGGTTCGGTTCATTTCTGTGGGGTGGGGGGGTGTAGAAAGCTAAAATTGCTTTTATTTTTTATTAAACAGTGCTTTAATGAACAAATTGTGTCCTTGTCTTTAAATTAATTCAATTACAAGTAAACGTTTCTCAAGGATAACAAAAGTATCTGCTAATGCTGTAAACTACAGCCCTTACTTGCACATTACTATAAAGGTGATGATACACAGGGCAACTTTTTGAGCAATGTTGCTGGGCAATGTTGTCGTCAACGGGCAACCAGATGACACACAGGGCCCAAGACCGATCTAAATTATCCAGATAGAAATGTATTGGTCACTTTCAATGGGAAAGTGCCCAAGCAACAATCGCTCGGCAAGATTGCCCAGCAACATTGCTCAAAAAGTTGCCCTGTGTATCATCGCCTTTACATTAAAGCTTAACAACAGAGCCTAGACTTTTAGCCTAAATGATATAATAATAATCAACACTCAAATAACAAATTGTATGAAAACATGTAAACTGCACATAAGGCAATTTTTGCATTAACATGTTTTTACTCTAATTTGTTATTGTTATATAATAATTTACACAGTTGCTGTTATTTTCATGACAACTATTTTAAACATACATTAAATAATCAAGATATCATAAACAGGTTAAGTAAAATATAATATATAGCATTTATTTAGTGAAAGAGTTAGCAAACCAGCAAGCTGTGGACACTGAATGACTTGCCTGAGGTAAATATAAAGCTATGTGAAAAACTAAGCGTTTTATTGACGTATTTCCGCTGTTGAAACACTGATTGAGTGTTTACACGAGTTATGATGCCTTTCAGTAAGTATACTGTATCTTTCAACATACCTTCGGGTGTCCATTCATGTTTATTCTGTAACTGAGGAAGAGATGATCGCGCTCCGCGCTGCCGCATGCATACAGTGATATCTGTCACGCCACATCTAAGAGCGCCAAAACGGCATTTATTGTATGCATTTCGTGATCAAATAGACATAATTTGAAAGATTACACCTTGCTTATTTTCAAAAGTAACAAAACACTGAGCTTATTGCGATTATATGTGGTTAATGGTGGTTAGGCAACAGCCCTGTATTTGTTGTGTACACATAACACATGAGGTGCAATGAGCCGGGGCAGCAGGGGGCGGGGCGTGTTCGGTTCGCCATGAGAGTATCGCGATACGTATCGTGGGTGATGTATCGCGGTTTTTCGGTTCGGTTCAAATATCGTTACACCCCTAATAATAAAATATTACAAAGCTTACTCCTCCTCATTGAAAATTGTCTAAAACATTTAGGTCGATTACAATGAATTATGGGCATATAATTAACTATTAACAGTCTATAATATGTCCGAACATTGCAATAATTAGTCATCAATGAAAATTAAAAACAGGTTTATTTCAAAAACATTGTTTAACAAATTAAAGAGGCGTTTTATCGCAGGTGGCTTGGAAGATATATGGTTAATCCATTTTGCAACACGAACTGGAGGTAAGCAACAGTAATTTGTAGCTAGTTACAGTTTGAACTACAGAAATGAAAGATCTCCCTCTTTTCGTTTTTATTTTTATTTTTTTTCTGCAGATGAAATGGTTAAACTTCTGTTTTCGCGCAGGCGCAGTGAGGGAAAAAACACTGAGTTTAGGGCAATCGGTTCGTAGCTTTGCTTCAACTGTGCGATATAGTCACGAGGAGCGACCAAAATTTCTGACATGCCAGAAATTCATCCGACCATCCGATTGTCGATCGGGAGAGGTTAATCGTCTCTCGTTTCTCCCGGTACACTGCACGAACACTGCACGACAAACGACGCACGACAAAGCTGAAAATCGGTCCGACCCGAAAAAGAGTCGCACGAGTCCGAATTCGGCTCAAAATCGGACGAAAATCGCAGTGTATGCCCGCCATAAGTCATTTTGTGTTTTTTCTTGTTTTCCAAAGACATTGAAATATGACTTCGGCATTATATATATAAGCGAGCAATTCTTTACAAAGACAACTATACATTTGTTTTTAGAAGTTGGTCATTTTATAACATTGATAGTCTTGAAAGTTTGTAATGGGGAGGTGTACAACATTCGCATATAAGTTAAATGTTATACAACAAAACAACCCAGAAAATGGCTCCAATCTATTAGTTTCAGTCATACTTTCGATGTTTACAAGACTGCAACTCAAACATTTGATAAAAAACAAAACACAAATAAACCATAACTCGGGTTTGATTTGGGTGCTAGCCTCTAGCTGTCTGTGTGTTAACGTTACATGAACTAAAAGAACGTTTATATATAATATTTTCTGGCTAGTTTACTTTAGTTTTTTATATATATATAATACACAACTTTTTACCGGGTAGCCTAAATCTTCTATAAATATTTTAGAGTCTTTATTTTCTTTTATTTGCCTACTCAAGTTCTTGTTAAAACTCACTAGACATGCTAAATCTGTGCATTTTGGGCACTTTTTGTGTGAAATCATATTTATTTTTGTCCATCAAAAGTGTGCTTTCACTTTAATTTAGCGTGAGCAATGGCGCAAAAACAGATTCGACGTCGAAACCCCCGCTTCACTGCTGCTCACGCGCCGCTCCTGCTCGACGCTCACGCGCTGCTCCCGGTGTGAATGCACTCATTGATTAACATGCACGCCGAAAATAATACGCGCCGCTCACGCATGCGGTGTGAAACGGCCGCCACGCCATCGTGTAGGCTACACATAAATCACTGACCCATCGGCCATCGTCGTCTCCCTCGTCTAATTTCTGTCGCTCTACATACGTCATCTGGTATAATTGAAACGATTGGCTATGAGCTACGTACAGGCGCATTTGATAGACATTCGTAGCACCCAATAAACGGCTCTGGGCATTCGTAAACCATGCCTCAAATACGAGAAAATGAACATGTGGTTCCCAGACCCAAGTCTCAACGAGAATTGGGTCTGGCGTTAGCCAGGCTAAGAGGTTCTCTGAATTTCTGGGGATTTCTACTCAACTGTTTCCAGTGGTGGAAAGAGTACTGAAAAAGCATACTCAAGTAAAAGTACTGGCACTTGTCAAAAAATGTAGTGAGAGTAGAGTAAAAGTACCTGTCCTAAATACTACTCAAAGTAGGAGTAAAAAGTAGCCCTTTTAAAAGTACTCAAGAGTACTGAGTAGTGAGTATTATGCTATGAATGTTAGTCCACCTTATACCCTGCAAATTGAAAATGTAGCTTACCCTTTTATCACAGAATCATAGAAAAAGAAAAAAGAAACAGTATTTCAATATTTCTCCAACGGTTTTATTTTTGACTGCTAGCACTAAAAATACAGCCATGTAATATTTGAGAAAGCAACCAATAATCTGGTAACGTTTATGACAACCATTCTGTAGAGGTTTTCTTGCAGGTTAATTGAAAAAGGTTGCAAAGCGTTGTACATTAACAATTTTACATAAAAGGTGAGCCGGTAGCACAAATTGGATTAATAAAGTGAATATAACATGCAATAACTGACAAAGTCTCTCAACATGAACACAGACTTGCAGCGATTTTAATGTAGGGGTCAACAACGAGCTTACATTTTGAATTTGTTGTTCAGTTTTACAATGAGCTGATTCTCAAAATTTGTACTGTCCAGCCTTGCTCGTCTAGGTGTAAACAGCTGCCCAGCACAACTAAAAAGGCGCTCACATGCTGCAGAGGCAGGCAAGGGTGTGTTCAGTTTAAGGCTTAGCTTTTTCACCAAAGGAAATGAGTGAAGCAGTTCCATCTCTTCTGAGGCACAAGCCAAGTATCCATCCAATTCAGATGCTCTTGTGGATGAAACAGTCTTAATGGAAGAAAAGAAGTCATCCTCGTCAGAGACATGCTGTGATTCGTTTTCCTGGGTGTCCTTCATGGCATCAAGACGATGCAGGATGTAATCCATACCTATGATATACATATAATACAGAAATTAGCGATAATTGTGGATAATGCTGATAGACAAACTATGTGGTATGGACCAAGTATTGGGGTTGTCATGGATAATTTAGAAATTAAATAAAGCCATTCAACTTGCTACATAAGCACTGCTGCATTTAACCCTATACCCTTGCCTTTTTTAACATCGTTTCACAGTCTGACTGTGCTAGATTAGGCAAGTAAATAAACATTGAACCGATAGTTTAACTCCACACAAACGTTTTCCATACGCAGTAGTGGAACAGGAACACGTGGGATTTTAAGCGAAATGTACCCATGAGTCCGGCCTGATATTAAAAAACAAAAAGCTGCATGTTTTCACGCTTTAACAGATATTGGCATAATATCAAATTCATCAAGTAATCTGTACTCCTATACAAAATATCTTACCTGCTCCTATGATGTGGGCCTTGTCCGTCCATGACGTTTTGAATTTGGGAAGAAGAATTGCAGCACTGATGAGTTCCGGATCTTCCATGAACTCCCCAAAGCGCTTTTGTAGACCCCGCTGCAGAGCATGAATAAGGGAAAGACATACCTTGACTGAAGCCTCCATCTTTTTGAGCTTTGAATCAAGAAGGTAGATTGTGGGAAGCAGCCACCCCATCTGAGTGTTTGTTTCGGACTGAAGGATGTTCAAGGCCATGGATACAGGCTTCATCACAATGCAGTATTCGGAGAGGTAAGAAACTTCAGCAGGATTTAGCCTATTTAATAAATAAATGTCAAAATCAAAACAAACATCTTAAAAGAATAGTTCACTTAAGAATTAAAATTGTCATTTACACACTCTCAAGTTGTTTCAAACCTGTATGAAGTTTTTTCTTCTGCTGAACACAAAGGAAGATATTTTGAAGAATTTTTGTAACCACAGTTGATGGACCCCATTGACATTATTATTTTTTTTTTTTTTCCTACCAATGGAAGTCAATAGGGTCCATCAACTTTTTGGTTACTGAATACCGATATTCTTCAAAATATCTTATTTTATGTTCAACAGAAGATAGACATTCATACAGGTTTGAAACAACTTGAGGGAGTGTGAGTGACAGTTTTCAGTTAAGTGAACAATTCCTTTAATATTCCAATTAGAACAAAGTGAGATTGAGCAAACAGACTTACATTTTAATTTTGAATGCTGCACATACATTCCGAAGGGATGCTTCTCCCTGCTCCTTTAGGATCCGCATTACCCTCTCTGCAGCATTGTACACTGAATTCCATCGTGTGTGGTTGGGCTGAATGAACTGCAGCTTACATTCTTCTTGCACAATCTCAGCACTGATGGCAGACCGGCTGGTTTTATTGTATAATGCCTGGCATTTCGCAAATGTTGAACGGGAAAGCTTCTTAAATACCTCACTGCTGTCCTCTGCCTTGGAAGCATCCACAGTAGCCACCAAATTAAGGAGATGACACGCGCAACGCTGATGCTTGGGTAGATGATACTCCAACCCACTGTTAGCGTTGAAAATGGAACTGGTGTCCTGAACTTCAAATCCTTCTGCATCATTCTCATCATCCAGTGTCACTGCCTCAGCAGAGTCAGCCTCAGCATCAATTAACTCTTGCTGACTCTGTTCACCATACACTCTAAAGGCTTTGATAAAATTTGATCCACTATCAGTTGTCGTTCTGACAATTTTTTCTGAGATGCCATATTCCGAGTGGATGTCAACCAAGGTCCCTGCGAGCAAATCAAATGTATGTGAACCTTTCAAGCGTCTGAAGGCAATGGAAGCAGACCTTCTTTCCAGAGTAGGTTCATCAATCCAGTGTGCTGTTACACCAATGTAACTGCGTTGTCGTGCTGTCCAACAGTCAGTAGTGGTACCTATATAGTTGACTTTTGCCATCTCAGCAATGATGTTTTTCTTTATCTTTGCAGCTGCTTCCTCAATTCTCAGCTTCACAGTTGGTCTGGACATAACTGTACAGCTAGGTTGCATTGTACAGATTAGATTTTTGAATGTAGGAAGTTCAACTATGGTAAAGGGCTGAAGGCTTTCACAGACAAAATCAACTACAAGCCTGTCAACTGTGGACTGAGTAACCTGCCTGCAGGACACAGAGAAGTCTTTAATCTTCATCTGTTTCACAGCTGAATCACACCTCTGTTCTTCTGAGTTCTTTCTTTTCAAGATGCATTCATTGTACTGCTTTAATTTCATTGGATGTTTTCTCTGTAAAAAGAATACAGAATTGAGTAACTCACAATTTTTACCACTGATCATTTTTGCGTGCAATTAAAAAAATAAACTTGATTTAAACATAAATCTAATGTTTTATGAAAGTGAGTAAATCGCCATTTGAGAACATGTTAAAATAATATCCACTTCAATAAGTCAACAGAAAGGAGGGTAATGCGTTTATGCTAAACGAAATTGATGTAAGGGACAAAAATCTAGCAGTGATGATGATGATGGGTTAATGCCTAATGCACTTTGAAGCCCGGTAAACAAACTAAATTAAGTTTTTCGAGTAGATGGCATCGCAAGCTCGTGCAGTGCTAACAGAATACATACCATTTGTGTGTGTATTAGAAAATGTAACATTCTGCAGTTTATTTTTAGTAATTGTTTAGGCAAGTTCGTGATTTCTGTCATCATACAGTAACCAGCAACAATTATAAAGCGTGCGTGCCTTTACTCTAGGCTGGTTGCTATCGCGTCATCAAAAACACCATGCATTGTCAGGTAAAATTTATTCGATCTGTGTCTATCACAGTGCTATTTTTGGCAGAATAATTTTGGTTGTCAAACATTCACACTCATAATAAACCCATACATGAACAAACATGCGCATTATATGATGATTTTTATCAAAAAAAATTATACTTAACAGATATTCGAAACTTACCTCAATGTGTTTTTTCAAATTGGATGTAGAACTCTTGAATGCCGAGATTTCAACTGGCTTAGGCAAGCAAAGTTGGCATGACATAATCATACAATTGCCCTTCTTCGTCTTCACTTTAAACAGCTCTTTTAGGTATGGCCAAGGATGCTGAAGTGCTGAATTTGAGCTGTCGCAGGCTGACGCATCCACCACCACTCTTCCTCCCTCCGGCTCTTCCTCCATGATTAAAATAAATTGGCGCCAGGTGTCTCGAAGTCTGTTGATGCTGGTTTGATGCAAAGTTTTCCGCGCGCAATTTGATTTGACGGGAATCACGCATGGAGTCACATGACTTATTATAAAAATAAATAAATATTAATATAAATGTAGCGACGGCAGGTTCAGGGAAAATAGCGCAGTAAAAGTACCGATACAGCACTTAAAATGTACTCAAGTAAAAGTAAAAGTACACTGTTTTTAAACTACTTAAAGTACAATTCCTAAAAAAAACTACTCAATTACAGTAACGAGAGTATTTGTAATTCGTTACTTTACACCACTGACTGTTTCTTAATTATTGTACTGTATATAAAAAAATATGCATTTATATTTAATAGCCATCAGATAGACCTGTACCTATATAAAATATGCAGCTTCTCTTGTGCTTAAAATATTAAGTGGAAAATTGTCTGTAACGTGGCCTGGATGCCAATGTGACAATTTCTTGTATCACAGGGGGAAGTTCAGCAGAAGCTGAGATAGGGACCCAAGCAGTCACAAACAGGATCACGCCAAGATGTAAAAACGGAAATGCAGTTGATGTCCAAGTCGATGTTTATTAAAACTTCTGTACAAAATGTGCAAATAAATTGTGTTCAGAGCGTAATTTAAACAAAGGTTATTAATAAAAACACAGTCTTAAAACTAGTACAGTACAGGTACTAAAACTGCACTTTTTCTGCGCTCAAGCAGCGCTAACGAGAACCTACTGTTTCTCATGCTCAAAAAACAATCCGTCCGCAAGTGCCCTATTCTACTAGTGACGGCTGCGTTAAATACACACATTTAGAATGTAGTTTACTAGTTAAAGTCCCCCTGTAGTCAATCATTTTATCCCTTTCCTCACCTTTGATCATAAAAATTACATATTTAAATTTAAAACGCCTCCACTCACTCACACCAGCTCAGCGATCCACTCGTTGATGAGCACACTTTGACGTGATTGGTTACTAAGTAGTTTGTGACGTCAGAAACACCAGCGATTTCAAACCGCGTTTTTGAGACTGTCCTTGGTTCACTGCAGTTTTAAGGAGAAAATACTCTGCAATCGTGATGACTTATGAAATTGCACATGGTTTGTCTTAAAGCATATTAAAAACACCACAGACATATAAACAACATTAAAAACTTGATTTTCACCACAGGGGGGCTTTAAAGGGCATATTGCAGGTTAGAGGACCCAACGAGTCAATGTATAGAAAAATAATGTAGGAACTAGATTTTCTTTAAAATATACTTATAAATACGCTACAGAAGCTTCTGCGTCTGAAAATGGGCGTGGCGGGCGTGACGTAATGGGCGGGAGAGCGGTCGATTCAAACAACAGGAAAACAATGGATCGCAATGACATTTCGGACGCTGAGGAAGTACTTACTCGTATGACGGAGCACAGCCATACAATTATGAGCCTGTTATGCTGCCAAGAGAGCAGGGACAGGCCAGGACTAATGTCAGACAGAACGGTCAGAGACACCATGAGTTGTGGTGTAAGAACCAGTGGAGAACAGGCCAGGTGTCTTGGTGAGAGACGTGCTTATAGATATACACGTTCGCTAACGATATACACTGTGCTCACAATATTGTACAGATTATTACCATCGTATATCAGGCCGGCAGACATTAGTATTTTTAGGGTAGATTTATGCTATTAAATGTATAAAAACTATACTTGAGTATATTTCTATTGTACTAAAAACATACCCAAGTACATTTTTAATACATATTTTTCACCTGGGTTATAACATAAACAGAAAATTAAAGATTTGAATATTTAAACAACCTGAGTAATTTTTGTTTTTCAATTACAAGTTGCCTCTATTTAGGGCATGACTACCTATATCACACTATTTCATGCCATTGGTACAGTATTAGACAATCAATATTTTTGCTTCGGCATCCCATGTTGAACTCCATCATATCGCCGGGATGATAATCCTCCGATCTGAAGTGAACGCTACACACGACCGCGGTTCTCGAAGCCGATGCGGAAGAGAAATCCCGTCTCTTCACCTGCACAAACCGCACCAGGCACGAAAGATATATAGCACCGTCCCTTTTCTTGTTATGGAAACCTGTGGACTTGATGTCCTGACAGGCCGGAGTTTTTGCAACCTCCACAAACAATAATTTACCATGACCTTGATAAATTAAAATACAAAAACTACCGAAAACACACTGACTCACGGCCGCTCTCACTGAACACCAGCCTACTCTGCACTGAGCCGAGGCTGAGGCTCCCTAGCGTGACGTAAAATGACGCGATTTTGGAAAAAAAAAGTCGTTTTTACGAGCAGTCCAAGAAATGCTCACTTTATCTACTAAAATAAGTGCCCTTATGTCGTTTTAAAACATTTTAAATCCTGCATTAACTTTTCATATGGTATTTTCATACAAGGTTATATATTAATTTAGATTTTTTTTTTACCTGCAATATGCTCTTTAAGCAATTATGCCTGTAATATCCTAAACTCTATATCTTACTTCTGTAGGCAGGGTCTATATTAGAGGTCTTCTTGGGTCCTAAAAACTGTACCCAACCCGAATCACTACTTACCCGAACCCGTCGTGCATATATTTTTTTTTTTTTAAGAAAAACCCGACCCGAGACAGACCCAATAAAATTAGACCCGAGACAGACCCAATAAAATTAGACCCGATCCGACCCGACCTGACACCATTTCCTTTAGAACCCGACTGGACCCGATTCCCGAACGTAAACGGCATTTACATTGTGCACAGCCTGCAGCCCTGCGTTTCTCAAAAATACACTTAACAGACGCGCAATTGTAAGCGCGCTGAAGTGCTAAAATGTCAATCACACATCACTGTAACCCATTGCGTCCTATAAAATTTGGCATAATGTTATTTACCGGACCATACGATGATTAGAACCACCATTCGTTTTCCCTCACCTTATTCGCAATGTCTGTTATCGCCTCCATGCTTTTCTGACAGTGTCGCGTATTTTTAAAATTGATTGACAGGCCTGGCTCAACGACAATTCAAATACTTGCATTTAGTCAAACATCCATCCACACGATGGCGCACTAGTTCTTCTTGGCAAAGGGAGGGGTTGGTTTATGTGGAGCGAGCAACTGAGTAAATAACAAGGGGGTAATCCTTCGACCGGAAGTTGAAGCTGGCCGGGTGTCGCCATCTTGTAGCAGAACTTCACTTGCGTTAGCATTTCCATTGACTCCCATTCATTTTGGCGTCACTTTGACAGCGAATAACTTTACATCTGAGGCGTTTAAAGACTCCATTTGTCCATTATTTATTTCTAAAGAAACACGACAATGTATAAAGGGCTCCGTTACCTTCTATGTTACATTATGGCCCCGTAGAAACAGTTTTTGTAAAAATAGGCTAACGATTGCGTCATAACCACTCGACTCTCTGTCGCGCTGTACAGAAATTACCGTACAGACAGGAGGAGAAGTTCGCAGGCATTCGGGGGGACGTCCCGTCAAGGGAGAAGCACATTTTAAAATAAATACTATACAAATTAATAATTAATCAGAATACTTACTCCTGCTCACTCACGCCAAAGAACTCTTTGCTCAAGTTCCCCGTCTCTGCAAGATTAACGTTGGCAATTTTCACGCACAGCTACTAGAAGATTTACGTCTGTCAGACAGGTTGCTCACGTCATCAAGCTTAGTTTGAGTCGGTTTGAGTCTGCGCGTCAGGAACGGAAGTGCTCAAAAATCGCTAAAAATGGGCTTCAACTGTCTCAACTGAGTTCCAATGAGATGGCTCTGTCCACTTCTTATACTGTCTATGGTAAATAAATGCGGAGGCAACCGTGCTTATGCTTATAGCCCATTTGCACGTAGAAGCGCGGGTTCGCTCTCTCACTTAGAAAAAGTGAGAGAACGGTGTCATAGAGTTGTTTTACGCTTGAACGTTGTGTCGCCTTGCTTTTGGCTTGCTTAGTTGGGGATATTTAATATTCAACAATATTATTGAACTGTGTTGTACTACTTTCATGTTATCACTGTGAAGCTGCTTTGATGCAATCTGTATTGTGAAAAGCGCTATATAAATAAATGTGACTTGACTTGACTTGACTTTTAAATACTGCAATTTTGTTAAATACCCAACATAGTTTAAAAGAATTCGGGTCTTCTCTGGTCCATTTGGAAAAGGCATATTTATTTTAAATTACCCGAGACCCGAGGCCACTAATACCGAACCCGACTCGTGTCCGAGACACTCGTCGGAGTTTTGGACCCGAACCCGCTCGGGTCTCGGGTCGGACCTCGGGTTTTCGGATCCAAGTGGACCTGTGAAGACCTCTAGTCGATATCTCAAGGATGTGGGTGACTGGATGGGGTTGCAAACCTTTTGGAACCTAAACAGCGGTTCACATTCCAAAAATGGTTGACAAGTACTGCTCTAATGTCTTCATTCTTGCTTTTATGACTGTATTCTTAATTGCAGACTAACATCAGCAGTTGAGGAACATAAGCGTTCAGTGCGGCCCTGCAGAAAAACCAAGAGCTCTAGAAACCCTCTCCGTGCCCTGGCAGCACGAGACGACCTCAGACAGGCTTATACTGAACAGAGACTGAATGTGGCCTCCGTGGAGACCAAAAGGATACAAATGGAGCGGAGTACGTTTATTAGTTACATTCCGTGGTGAATTCATGGAATGTTTGCATCACTTTTATATGTGGTATTTCACCACAAAGATCTATGTTCCAGCTTAACCTGTTAACCATGTTCTTTGTTTAGATTAAGACTCAAACATTAATTTTTGACCTCTAAAAATCTCATGGTGACATTAATTTCTAAATTTGTGTCAGGAGTTATGAAAATGAAAAAACGTCTGAAATCTATTTCGGTGTTCGCAGAGAGGAGGGAATGAGACATTGTGTAAGCTTCCATGTTACAGTAAGGATTCTGAGGCAATAACTGTTCAGCTCCTCCTTATATGGTGAGAAGGAGTTAAGAGAAATCTCCAGTTTGCATGCTTGAACGTCATTGGCAAATCCTACAGTTTGGTGTTATTCAATAGGGCTTCAATGTTACTCAGAGAAGGAGTTTCACCATAGCGTCTACTAGTGACGCAATGTAGATTGAACTGAAGTTGATACCTTTTAATATGAAATACGATTCTCTGCCGCATCCATGAAGAAAAAAATTCCTTGGGCCGAATTCATGGAACTATATTCGTAAGAAAGAAGTAAAGAAAGTTCTTAAGACAAATTCTAAGAAGTTTGTAAAAATGTTCATAAGTCCAACATCTTACATTTTTTTCTTAAGAAGAAAATGACAGGATTTGGTGTCAGGGGCATCACTAGGCCTATTTTAGGAGGGCTTTAGGTAGAGATATTCCTCTAACAAAATCTAAATATTTAGCACATTTTACTGTACTGTTCTTTTTTATGAACCATTCAACTTCACATGTAGGACAATGCACACTAAGCCACATTGCGCTTTTAGCCCATTTCGCAGCACTTTATACTAGTGCTGCCCCCTAAAAGTCGACTAAATGTTAGTTAACTAAGTCTCCCTCTCTTCCCTGATTTTGCATAGCACCCGATGCAAAATCTTCACCGGCGTCAACGCATATTTGCATGCTTTCCACCAGTGGTTGGCTAGGGCATCCACTCCCAGTGTGGGCTGGCCCACAGTTCAAACAGCCGGTGACGTGGACAGCTCGAATAGACAGGAGATGTTGATCTGACCACAACAAAAGGCTCTTTGCGAGCTTCAGCAGGGGACACGAGTTGATACCTCCTTAATAATTTATGCATGCCACCATAATCTGATGAAACAGAGCATAAAAACACTCAAGAGCAAGTTGAACTGCTCTCATTTCTAGACAGTTTATGTGCCACACCTTCTCTGTGTGCATCCAGACACCGAAAGCCGGTCTGCCATCACAAAGGGCTCCCAAGCTCATGCTTGATGCCGGTCTGCCGAGAAGGAGTAAAGAGAAATCTCCAGTTTGCATGCTTGAACGTTGTGACAGTTTTTGCGTCCTGTCCCATTGTTACACCCTGTTTGTACGAGGGCCCTTTGCATCTGCGGGTTGTCAGGTTGCGCAGCAGACCCGTGTGCTAAGCATGAAACGGTACATGGTCTTTTAAACAGAGCTGAAGCGGCTGCAATGAAGCAGGCCCAGCCGATATACTGTCGCCCGTGTGTTCTTTTAAAGCATTTCAAAAAGAGGTTCCCCTAATTCAAACATTGTGAATAAATTCATTATGACCTACCAGTGCTCAGGTAAGAGGTGGGCTCTTATAGATTTGGAATTGAGACACACGCCCAGGAAAGAGCTTAATTTACTGAACATTCCTCTCTTTTCTTTGTTACATTGTAGCAAATATAAACAGTTAATTGGTTTCTCTTCTGTCTTCAGTGGCCAAGCACTCAAATTTGGCAGATGCGGCTCTGGCAGGTCTGGCCAGCAAAGAGAACTTTAAGAAAGTCAATCTGCGAAGCGTGAAGTCTACAGAGGTGGTGACCAACAACAGCGCTGTGCCTTTCCACAAGCTCATGCTTATCCACATTAAAGGTGAAGCGGTCAATGATCATGCAAAATATCAGTGCAAGTGTTTATGTCCTAAATGCGCATGTTGTGGTTTTAATCACTGGCTTGTAACACTTGTCTGTTAATTCACGCAGGCCGCAGGCATGTTCAGGTGCGTCTGGCTGAACCCACTGCTCGCTCTCTGAACAGCGGAGACTGCTATCTGCTCATCACTCCCAAACACTGCTTTTTCTGGAGTGGAGAATTTGCCAATGTCATCGAAAAAGCTAAGGTACTACCACAAAGTAAATAAAAATCCATGCCTATTCTATATATAATAAGGTATTACACCAGTGTTAGTTTAGCATTGTTTATATACTATTATAGTATTTATTAATATTTTGAATTAAATATAATTTTTTATATTTTCATTTGAAATCCTTTAAAAATGTTTTCTCTTAAAAACACTTTTTCCCATAATTTTATTTAGCTTTAATACATTTTTTTTATTGTTTTAGTACTTCAGCTCAAACTTATTTATTACAGTTAGTTGCTATGGCAACACATTACATTTGTCTTTTTAAGTTTTTCATCTATTATTTATTTCAATTTACTTAAACTACCGAAAATTATTTTAAGTAGTTTTATTTAACAATAACAACAGATGAGATTTTTTTACAAGTAGTGACCCATTCTGTGTGTTTGTGTGTGTGTTGTTTAACCTACATTGAGAGGACCAAATGTCTCCACAAAGATAGTAAAATTGTCACGTGGTTGGAGGAACGAACCCAAGCGCAGACAGCAAATAACTCAAAACGGGGTTTATTGATGACAAAACAGAAAACAAAACCCACGATGGGGCAAAACAAGACAGGTTAAACTAATAAAACAAGACGGTCAACAGGTACTCACAGCTTGATACGATAGACAAGATTCACAGAAAGTTTGACAAGGATCTTGACACAGTTTTGATAATGAACCGACAAAGGACAGCAAACACAAGGGGATAATATAGGGAGACACTAATGACACGAACAGGTGAAACTGACTAGACAATAATGACAAGATGAGGATAACAAGGGGGCGGGGTTACGTAATGAGACAACACAAGCACATGGCCCAAACAACAGGCCATGCGTTTGTACACAAAACATGGTTCTGCCATGATCCTGCCACAAGCCTAGGAAAATCAAGAGCATGATGGCAGAATCATGACAGAACCCCCACCTTAAGGAGCGGCTTCCAGACGCTCCTCAAAGGGACACTAAGCACAAGACAAGACAGAACGAGACATGGACAAAAACCAACAAAACATAGCGAACATCAACAACAGCATACATGAATAAACTAACAGGATTCGGGTGAAACATCAAAAACAACATACAAGGCAGGGGAGGAGGAAAAACAGAGTTCATGGGGGTTGGTCCAGGGTGGATAGGAGGACTGGGGGTCTTGGGTCCACGGGATGAGGGCTGAGGACGAGGACTCTGGGCAGGTTTAGACGGAGAAACACGAGGAGAGGTTTTGGGGAAAACAGTCCGGGGCTTAATGATGACAGGGACGGCCGGGGAAACACACACAGGTACTGTAGATGACAGGACAGGAAACTTGACTGGGAAAACAGGAGGCAACAAAACAGGTGGGGTAACAGGCGGTTGAAGAGCAGGAACAGGCGCCAGGCTCTCAGCAACAGACCTGGAACCAGCGCTCCCTGATGTCGAATCGGACTCGACACTCTCCATCTCCAACTCAGTAACGTTAAGAGGCGTCGACTGTAGCCGACTCTGGGACAGCACTTACAGGAACAGGCTCTGGAACAGCGCCTGCAGTAGCGGGCTCTGGTGCAGCGCTTGTAGTAGCGGGCTCTGGAACAGCGCTTGCAGTAGCGGGCTCTGGAACAGCGCTTGACGAAGGACGGGAGGCTCCCCTCCTCCTCCTCCTCTTTCTCCTAGGTCGGGAAGCAGAGACCACAGCCGGAACTGAGATGGGTTGGGGAAGCACAGTGGGAACTGTGTCGGGCGAAGGAGGGGCTTTCTCTGGCAGGATTGACTCCGTCGCCGAGGACTCTGAAGGAGAGTCCCACGAGGACCGTCTCCCTCGAAGACCGAAGGGGGTAGATGGAGTGCCAGGAGTCGTGGGGGAACCAGCCTGGTCCCCAAGCGTCGCGACGCCTATCATTCGACCCTCGGGAATGATAGGCAGGCAGAAGGTGAAGACCTCGAGGATGCCGCCTCGGACTCCTCCCGGGAGAAATGGTCATACAGTCGAGAGAAGTTTGACAAGATCCACTCACCCTCGGGTGAGTAAGGAAGGGTGACACTCTTCTTGTTGAGGGGGGAAGACAACCAGACTTCTTCAAGGGGGTCCGGACGACACTTGGCAGGGAAGGACAAACGGTCTGCTGGGTTCTTCTTTGGTCGGTTCATTCTGTCACGTGGTTGGAGGAACGAACCCAAGCGCAGACAGCAAATAACTCAAAACGGGGTTTATTGATGACAAAACAGAAAACAAAACCCACGATGGGGCAAAACAAGACAGGTTAAACTAATAAAACACCTTTACAAAAGACGGTCAACAGGTACTCACAGCTTGATACGATAGACAAGATTCACAGAAAGTTTGACAAGGATCTTGACACAGTTTTGACAATGAACCGACAAAGGACAGCAAACACAAGGGGATAATATAGAGAGACACTAATGACACGAACAGGTGAAACTGACTAGACAATAATGACAAGACGAGGATAACAAGGGGGAGGGGTTACGTAACGAGACAACACAAGCACATGGCCCAAACAACAGGCCATGCGCTTGTACACAAAACATGGTTCTGCCATGATCCTGCCACAAGCCTTGGAAAATCAAGAGCATGATGGCAGAATCATGACAAAAATGTGACATTGTGGGGCCATTTGGCCGGGCCCCACGAGGAAAACACCTTATAAATCATACCAAACTGATTTTTTTTTTTTTATATGTAAAAATGCAGAGTTTTCTGTGGTGGGTAGGGTTAGTGTAGGGGGATAGAATATACAGTTTGTACAGTACAAACCATTTTGTCTATGGAAAGTGAAGATATAAAAACAAGTTTGTGTCAAATTGTGTGTGTGTGTGTGTGTATCAGAGCTCAGAGATGGCTCAGTACATCCAGACGAAGAGAGATCTGGGCTGCAAAGCTCCTCAGATCACCGTGCTGGAGGAGGGAATCAACACAGAGAACCGTTCGGCCAAAGAGTTCTGGAGTCTGTTGGGAGGAAAGACTGAGTACAGAGGTACAGGCACTTACAAAAACACTTATCCTGCCAGGCCCTGCACATGAAGCACAGATGTTGAAATGACAATATTTCATTCACCTTAAATGCACACATTCATTTGTAATTTTGTATATACAGACCATTGACTCTAGGCCAGAATTTACTAATGTTGCATAATCAAGTTCAGTTTATCCTCCATTCTTGCAGTATTTTGGTGCTGGTCTACTTGTTGTTTTTGGAGTTTAGATTGCCATAGTTTACACTAACTTCCTCAGAACCTCCATGAAGTTTGTTCCTTCTCTTTCTTCAAAAGAATGGTGTTTTTTCTTGACACACTGCATTTGAATAACCATGTTGTTCCCATGCTATATCCACGTTTTACCCCTTATTCTTTGCTGAATTTAGTGGAAAATTATGAAAATTCCAGAACTACACACTTACTGGTAAAATCAAAAAGCTATTCACAGGACTGTGAGGGTGAGGCTTAACATACTGTATTTTAATGTCCATTATCAGATTGCATACAAGTGGGTAAAAATCGGTTTTGTCCAACAGTATTTCTGGCTAGATATTTAGTTTTACTCAGGAATATGTGAGAATATGTGAAATTATGGAAGTTAAATGCATGTTAAACACAAATTTAAATGGATGCAGCTTGCTTTGTGGAGAGTTTTTTACGTGTGTGCGTGTGTGTTTTACAGGTGCAGGGGAGCCAGAGGAAGATGAACTGTATGAGAGTGCTGTAGTAGAGTCAAACTGTGTCTACAGGCTGGTGGAGGATAAGCTGGTTCCTTATGAGGAGGCCTGGGCATCCATTCCCAGTGTCTCTCTTCTCAACTCTAAGGAGGTGTCAAATTTATAGGCTCTTCTATGCAGTTTTGTCCTATTGTGGATGATCAGTGTGTGTGTGTGTGTGTGTGTGTGTGTGTGTTGGTTAGGGATGGGACGATACACTTAAACTCACGATACGATGCACCTCGATATGCCAGGGTCACGATACGATACGTCACGATACGATATCAAAAAAGGAAAAAAAAGAAAAAAACATTACTGTATAACAACAACTTATTTATTTTTGTTTCAGCTGCACACAGGGAAACACAAGGCCTAACTGGCCAAACACAAACAAGAACACTCCCTTAGTGCTGCTCTAATCCTAGGTTAAGTTATCTCAGGACTGGTTCTTCTTAAAAAAAACTAACATATCAACATGTTCTGGTGTAATCAGTGATCTTTGAGCAGACACAATGTCTCCTGCTGTGGAAAAGACACGCTCACTGGGCACTGATGTAGCATACCGTAAAACTTCAAATAATAGCCGAGTCCCAAATAGACGCCTGTCTCTTTTACACGCCTGGTGTGGCTGCAGGTTTGGGTAAATAAAGGCCGGTCTCAAATAGAGGCCGGGTCTGTTTTTTAGTTTCGGGTTGTATTTAACCTTCTAAAACCCGTCAGATCATCCGCTTTTTGGCGGCCGCCAAAGCAAATGTGTGTCCTGCCAAAGCCTTTTTTGATCGGCGAGTGATGTAGAATTGACTGCTGTGCTTGACAGGGCGCATAACGAGCAGAGAGAGAGAGAGAGCGCCCCAGCCGCGCGCGCGCACTCTCACGTCTTCAAACAAAACGAGCGCTGTCTTGCTCTCTCTCCCTAGCGCATATTAATCAAAATCAATTGACACGATAGTAAAAGGTCGGAAGACCGCAGTTTCACGTGGAGCATTTGGAGATTTTTAGAGATTAGAGACTCTAGGCCTACACTCAATGAACAACATCTCAACACTAAATTATAAAGGCCGGTCTCATATAGACGCATGTCTCAAATACAAGCCGGTGCAGTTCGACGATTTGGGAAAATAAAAGCCCGGGCTATTATTTGAAGTTTTACGGTATATATATACATTTGACTCCATGGTCGGCTGTTTGGGGGCAAGGCAGTTGGTGCCAATGCTAATATTTGTTAGCTCGCTGTAGACTGCAGTGTTGTTGTTGCAACATGCGCTGTCTTGACGTGATGACGTACCGCACCGTTCCCCGGATATAAATTTTTTTTTCATTTAGTTTTACCCTGCTTGATCAGCAGATGGTGCTGCCAGCCTGCCACCATAGACTGTATGTCTGCCCCATATACATACACACATATAATACACTAAATTATTTATAGACTACGCAAATCATGCAGCAGTGCCATCTATCTTTATTTCGCGATCCATTTTTTTCGACCTCGATGCGTTTCGTCACGTTTTGTATCGCGATATTTTGTCAAACGATATTTCGTCCCATCCCTAGTGTTGGGATGGGAGAAGGTTGAAGAAACACGCACACGCAGGTCTCGCCTTCACTCATCTGTATTGAATGAGTTTTTGAACAATGTGTACAAGATGTATACATTTCAATATTCGTGCACTCATTAGATTCAGGACCACAGTCACAAGTATCTTCTTAATGCATTCTAAATTATCCTTTTAACTAAATTACCATATGCAATGTGAATTGTTTTAAACAAAGTTATCAAATTACATTTTAATACTCCTTTTTAAATGAGTTCTCACATAAAACGTACTCGGTTACCTAACGTAACCTCGGTTCTCTCTAGAGAGGGAACGAGTATTGCGTAAGTTTAGCTTACACTACGGGTAAAGTTCATCTTTGCTCGAGATATTGAAGCCAAAATTATCCTTAATTTTGTATATATTGTCAACGCAGTGCAGCAACTGCAGACCTAGAGCAGGCTGTCTAGCGTGCTCATTGGCTGCCCTGCGGCTACTGCAGCAGCCTACCAGTGAGCCTGGCGTGACGTCACGCCCAATGGTGGCGCTTCGCGCCCACTACGCGTCACAGCCCGCGCAAGGGGGTGTGGCTTAGCGTATAAAAGCGGGGCTCAGAGGCTGCTTCCCTGGTTTTCATGATCTGAAGCGAAAATTGCTCGTGGCGCTTAGCACGGCCGGTTACGCAATACTCGTTCCCTCTCTAGAGAGAACCGAGGTTACGTTAGGTAACCGAGTACGTTCTCTTACGAGAGGTTCTCTCGTATTGCGTAAGTTTAGCTTACGCTACGCGAACACTTTGTCAACGCCGTGCGCGCCCAGCATCCACTCTATGAGTCCCAACCCGGGGAACATTGAAAGTGGGAAATTCAGGCGGCCAGCAAGCGGGCCGACACATGTATAAACATAAGCACCCATGGGGAATGCAGAGCGGCGGCGCCGGGCTGCATGTACATGTATATCAACCCATATTAGTGCAGCTCAACCAGGAGAGCTAACGTTGAGGTAGCCTGCGCACCAGTGATGTGGGCAGATCATACACACATTAGACTGAAAGAAGTCTAGCCTGCAAGGCGGGAACTTCCAGATTATAGAATCTCACAAATGTAGACGGGGAGGCCCAGCCCGCCGCCATACAGATGTCGTGAATGGAAATTCCACTGGACCATGCCCACGACGAGGCCATGCCTCTTGTGGAATGAGCCCTGATACCCAGAGGGCATTGCAGACCTTTTGACGCGTAGGCAGCAGAAATCGCGTCCACTATCCATCTGGATAGGGACTGTTTCGAGCCGGCGAGACCTTTGGTGCGCCCGCCAAACGAAACGAAGAGCTGCTCGGAGCGTCTGAAGGGGGCGGAGCGCATAACGTAAGCTCTCAGTGCCCTGACAGGGCAGAGGAGGCTGTCGCTGCTCACGCTGTCGGATGCTGGCAGAGCCGACAGAGAAATGACCTGTGCTCTGAAGGGAGTGCCAATCACCTTCGGGACATAGCCATGTCTCGGTTTGAGGATGACTTTAGAGTCATTCGGGCCAAACTCAAGGCACGCTGCACTAACAGATAGCGCGTGTAAGTCCCCCACACGTTTAACTGATGACAGAGCCAAAAGAAAAACGGTTTTGAGCGAGAGGTATTTTAGATTCGTTGAATCTAATGGTTCGAAGGGATGCATCTTTAGAGATCCCAAATAGGAACCGAAGGTGGGCACGGAGGGTTCATCCTTCTGGCTCCTCTTAACCCTCTGGGGACCAGAGTTTTTTTGGGGCCCTTGGGATGTTTTGACATGCACTGACATTTGTGCTTTTTTCAGTTATTTATAAACATGTTAATGGCAAAGGTGTAAATTCACTCTATATAGCACATACGGGGCTACCATGATATCTGAGCAACATGTATGTACATGTTTGTATTTTTAATAGAATAATGTTTATGCGTGGTTATTGAAAAAAATAAAAATGAAAGTTGCTGAAATAAGACCACAAAACACATATTGATTATTTCTTCACAAGACTTTTGAAAATTGTATCACATAGCCTAGAATATTTGCTCCAAAACTATGTGAGAATCATCCTGACTACTCATTCAGATAAGTCAATAAAGTCTTTTACATTTTTAATGACGTGTTTTGTTTGAGAAAGCTTTATGCAGGAGGCGTGATCTCTCATTAATATGTGTGGCATTCCACACCTGAGAAAGACAAAGACCCTCCCCATAATGGCCCTATTAGGTGCTATCAGGCCATATCATTATAGGAGCCTTGCACAAAGAATGAGGAGATTTAAAAAAGAATGGCTTTTAGATTGTTTGGATTTATATAAGGAAAATACAGGGTGCATACGTCTGGACACTTCTATCACACACCCTTCACCATATAGACATGTTTTTATTTCAGTTCAAAGTTAGAGTTGGAAACATCTTGAAAATAAAATTGTCTTTCTCCATAAATATCTTAGTTTGATCATACATATTTCAAAGTTGAGGATTCATTATTTTGATATAGCTTGAACAAACACTATAACATCTTAGTTGATTAGTTTATTGACAAAACATACTATATATTTAACATATGAGCAGAAACTCCTAAAAAAAGCTTATTTGATGTCTATTTTAGAGTAAAAACTTTATCCAAAACGAGTCAACGAAATGTTGTCTGTTATTTAGTCTGTAACAGTGCGTATCTGTGCGTTCATTCATTCATTCATTCATTCACACACACACACAAACATGATTCACATTTTAAACAGTATGCTATTTTTCCGTTTACAGACACTACCTTATTCTATATCGCGATTAGAACAAAGCACTTGCAAAAAACACTTACTTCTCAGCTGAATCTGTTCATCCTCGAAGTGAAAATAAACCCAGTGGTAAATGTCCCAGGATTGTTCCTCATATAGCCGCGCAAGACGACAGTAGATTAATCTGACTAAAAAATAATGTGTGTTTTCAGAGTTTATGGGCGTTAACGCGTCTCAATGTGTTGCTTCACATATTTGCGTTTGAATAGCGCGTGCTCTCCGTGGGCGTGTCACATTACCAGAGATAATCAGCTCGAGAACGATAATGAGACGGGCTGACACGTCTCTCTTTTTATATAGATGACATAAACGGAGAATATTAATTTTAGTTTTGAATCGGATCATTTAAAAGTACAAACTCAAATGATTTAAAAGATATATTGCTTATGGCTGGGTGAATAGTATTAGCTGAGTTGTGTTGAAGATTAGAGACGTGCTCCAGAAAAAAAGTTCACGGTGACTGAGAGGCAGAAGGCACACCCTGTTTATTTTCTTTATTTTACAAAAGCACAATATTTTATTTCGATTGTATGTGGGCACATAAAAAAGTAGACATTTACCAGATTATTTTTTCATATTTCTTAACTCTATATGAACAGAAATGATGGTAGTACTTTAAGTCTATTTTTCTGCTATGTGAAAAAAAACGAGCAAAACGCGCCGGCGCGTTTCTGGTCCCCAGAGGGTTAAGAAGCGGATGACCAGTGTCGTGGAAATTCTTTATCAACTTTAAATAACTATTGAAGGACAACTAGAGATCTCGAAAGTTACAAGCTTTTATTTCT